AAGGGAAATGTAAGAGTAAGTATAAAGATTTTTACAAGGCTAATCCTGACTTTGTTTTGGGTATGTTGTGATGGGAGTGCATGGGAGGTTTGTAGGTGCCCATATATGCAGTAGGAAGTAAATGCATGGCATTGGAGCTCAGTGGGTCTATCTGGGCTGGATTTGTTTGTCATTAGGATGTTACTCTGCCAAAGAATTGAATGAATATATGCCAAGGATCTGAACGAATTTCTTAAGTATATACCCATAGAAAATGAAGATAAGAGAGCTAAGGTCAGAAGCTTAGAGGCCATGATAATTTGTGTTGTGAACAGAGAAAGAAGATAGCACCAAAAAATGAGAAGGCCATGAGAATGAGACAGAGGTAGAAGATGGTGACTGGTGACTGGTGAAGGGAGGAAGGGAGGGAGGGAGGAAGTGGGGAGGAAAGAAGAAAGGAAGGAAGGAGATTTCCCATTTAGGAATGGTTGAATGAGCTGGATTGATAAATGCTCACTCTCTATCTAGACATATGGAAAGAGTGGCTAAACAACAAATTTTTACCAAATACTTAGCAGAATTCTAAGGTATTCTCTCTGGTTTCCAGAATCGAGGAAGGAATTCAGCTGAAGTAGTGAATGGAAGTTGACACAGTTGTATATTACTATTTATCCCAAATAAGTGAATGGATTTCCCAAGGGTGAAAGCTGAGATTCACTTGGGATGGCTAGCAAAATATTAAGATAACTATTAGGGAAGTTATAAGATTGTAGTCTCAAACATTTTGTAAGGCTGAAAGGTTTTTATTAACTTACGGAACAGGCTGAAGGCAGCCAGTTCTTATTTTAGAGCTTTAGGTCATAAGGTGAAGATTAGGGATAATAAAAGCTTCCTCAGATAAAGTCTGTTTACCTCACATTCCTTTGTTTCTACTCTGTTTACTCATGTAAACTTTGTGCTAGATGGTCCTCTCAGAGGGAGGTTGAAGAGGAATTAGCTGTTAATGGTGTTTGTTCTGGGTCCTGGAACCAAAAGCTTTTATCATTTGTAAAACCACTCTTTTAACCATGTTAGTTATCCACAAGCATGTTGACTTAGAACCTGTTTGAAATCTATACTGAATAAATGTGAAAAAGAACAGAGAGTGATGGTGGGTTAGTTGCAATCGCCCTCTGAAAGCAGCTGATGACCATCCCTAGTCCACTTGATTCACCGTATTCTGGGGTATGTAAGTGCATTTATTCATCCGTCGCTGAGTCAAGGTCTACAGGACAGACCTCTGCAGGCGGTGATCAGCATCTCAGGTGAGCATATCAGATGTGAATATAAGGGAGCCAAGGATGTGCACTCAGCTTCCAGGACAGGAAACATATTTTAGTAAGCAGGATTATGAAACCTACTGAGGGCCAAAGTCAAGTCTATAATTACCCTGTCTAGTGGGGAGTCAAGACCAACAAATGGGCTATCTAGTCAAAAAAACTTCACTGACTGACCTGAAAAAGATGCTAGATTTGCTCCATCTGCCCTGGATGATGGGCAGGAATAGAATCTCCTGAACGCAGAACCCAGAGATGCCACAGTAGACAGTGGTGCTGAGACAAGCTCAGAGGAAAAAAACTCATAGCACTCAGGAGACTTACTTGCATTGGAGAGACACTTTAAAACAGAATAGTGCAGTATCTCAGAGACTTTAAAATAGACATTTAAATTGTTCAAAGGGAGAAAATAAGGAGTAAGATTCCTAATTCAATAGCAGGACTTATTTTTTGGGAAAAAGGAACACACAGATCTATAAAAATGAAGCATACAGACATTTTAAACAATGAAAGACATAGTTATTAAAATAAAGATCAATAGATAGATTAAACAAGAGTGGATGGAGATGACGAGAAAGAGAAATGTGAAGTATATCTGATGAAACTATACAGAATGCATCACAAAGACACAAAGAGAGGGAAAATATGAAAAGCAGAAAGAAGAGAAATGGGAACTACATGAGAAGAGTCAATATATACCTAATATAACATCTGGAAAGAGAAAATAAAGAGCCTTGTGGGAAGCAATAATAAAAAGAATGACTAAAACTTTTTAAAAGTTAAATGAAAATAATCCTAAATTGGAAAAGTCATGCAGAACCCCAAGCAGGAGAAATAAAAAAAAAAAATTGCAACTAGAAACTTTATACTAAAATGGAAGAACATCTAAGATAAAGGAAAAAAGTTCAAAGCTAGAGGAGGTAAGAGAGATCATGTATAAAGGAACAAGTCAAATCAAGGGTTGACTTCTCATGCACCATCTCTGTGATCATAGATATGAGAAGGCAATGCAATATCTTCAAAATGCTGGGGGAAACTAGATTGTATATCCACTTAAATGTCATTCAAGAAAAGGCAAATATTTTCAGACATTTCTAAGAAAGATTACTACCACTGACCCTTCTAGCAACAACTGGTAAGGGATTCAATTCAATTAAAAAAAAAAAAAAGAAATTCCTTCCAGAAGGAAGGTGTAGGAAGCCTACACATGTATAGAAAACTGATTTATGTCTGAATGGGTATTGCAGACCAGTGGACACAAGATACACTATTCAATAAATGGTTCTGGGGCATTTCACTGTCCTCCAGGGAAAAACAAAATGAAATTGGATCCCTGCTGCTCCTTATGTACAAAAATCAATCCTTAGTGGAACAATTTGAAAGGCAAAATTGCTATAGAAGAAAAATATAAGAAGATATCTTTATGACCTTGGGATAAAGAAGAATGTATTAAATCATAAATAAAAGGCTTGATAAATTTGACAATGTTAAAAAAACAAAACGAAACAAAAAAACTCTCCCTCAAAAAGATTGACAGGTGGAACAATTTTCAGGAGGGAAAACTTAAATATCCATAAACTTATCACAAAAAAGAGACTTACTAATACCAGTAATAAGAAATATACAAATTAAATGACTTGGCAAAAAGGTAAGGTAAGTAGGCTATATCAAACATTGGAGAGCATGTGGCATAAAAATCTGAAGATAACTAATGTCCATTCACAGAAGTAAATTACTGTTTATAGTAGTCACTAATCTAGACCATGTTATGGCGTCTTCATATAGTGGAATGCTATACAGCAGTGAAAATTAATGAACATTAACTCTAGGCACGTCATAGATGATTCTCACACACATAATGCTGAGTGAGTCAAATAAGTTGCAGAGGAATACATAACCTATGACATCATTTATATCAAATTTAAATTCAAACAATATTTCATGTGGTTTAAGGATACATAAATAATAAGATTATAAAGAGAGGCTTGGGAAAAGTATAGCCCAAATTCAAGAAGGAGAGTTATCTGATCTGGAAGCATTCACAGAAAGTTTCAACTATGTTGTAAATATGTTGCTTATTAAGCTTGGAGGTAGGTAGATGAGTATTTGTTGTTGTATTCTCTATATCTTTTAATTTAATTTAATTTATTTATTTGAGATGGAGTCTCATTCTGTCACCCAGGTTGCACCCATCTTGGCTCACTGCAACTTCCGCCTCCTGGGTTCAAGTGATTCTCCTGCCTCAGCCTCCTGAGTGGCTGGGATTACAGACACTGCCATCAGACCTGGGTAATTTTTTAATTTTTAGTAGAGACGGGTTTCACCATGTTGGCCAGGCTGGTCTCCACTCCTGACCTCAAGTGATCCACCTGCATCAGCCTCCCAAACTGCTGCAATTACAGGGATGAGCCACCATACTTGGCCTCTGTACCTTTTTAGATCTTAAACATTGTATAATACTTTTCCAAAATGAAAAGAGTAAACCAGAGATGAGGAAATGGAGAGGGCAGGAGAGGACTATTCTTCCACCTTTTTTTTACCAGGAAGGGGAGAAGAGAAGAGAATGGTTTTTAAAAAATTTCTTGACACCAAATGATTTGTAAGAATTTAACAGTTTGTACAATTTTGTAGGTAAACCAACATTCGAAGCTGAATAATTATATGCTTAAACTCAATATATTCAACTTAGTGAAGTAATGTTTATTATTTGATCTGTACAAGCTGGAGATTATCTTTTTTCTTCATATTCCTTCTTATTCTCTAAATAATCTAGCTTTTTGAAAAGAACTGATAGTATACACATAGGAAAAGTATCAATGTTAAAAATATTGAGTCATTTAACCAATTGGAGTTGAATACTTCTTTGTTATTTTCAATTTCAGACACTAAGCTGGATATCTTTATATATTTTATTTCTTCACCATAAAACTTACAAAAACAAAAGAGCTCACCAACATCTATGTCTCTTTGGTGATGTGACACATATATTTTTAAATGTGTGTTAACAGTTATATGCTTTCATTGTCTCCCCTTTAAAATTAAATCAATCTTTTTCTGACTAGGGAACAGTGTGTTCTGTACTAAAGGAAAACCCCTGCTTGGAAGAAAGGTGTTGCTGAGTAGTTCTGCCAGAGACTTTCATTTCAAAGGCAGAATTTTATTTCACAGGAAATGTGAATCTGAAAGTATTTTACTAGCAATTAGCTTTTAAAATAGCAAGTGACTTCATGTTCTTCATTTATGCTTGGAAGCTGGACATGGAATTTGTGTTTTTCTTTTTTTGTTTGTTTGTTTTTTTTCCTGACTTGTGTGAAATTGTTAGGAACACACAATATTCTAGCTAAGAAATAAAGATGTACCAAACTTAGCTTTCACCGGAGACATCACCCACTGCCTACAGAATAGTCCTGAGGAGATGGTAAGCCCAAATATTAAGGGATATCAACTAAGTGTCCTGAGTTGGTGATGTTCCAAGCTGGGCCACCCCCAGCTTCTTATACTTTCATCCTCATCTCCAGTGAAATTTTCACAGAATCCATCATTATGATAGCACTCACCAAGTGTTCAATCTTATTGTCCTCATTTACAGATGGTAAAACTGAGACACAGAGAAGTTAAGGATCTTGCCAAAGGCTCACAGTTAGTAAGTAGTGGGAGACAAGATTGGTGCCTGGGTACTCTTACCTCAAACCCACTTCTTTTCCCAGATTTGAAGACATTAAACTGGGACATTGGCGTGACTGACTGATATAAACAGAGTCTGTCACATCCCTGGCTGCTGTTGTCACTGGTAAGTTGGGGCTTAGATCTCTACCTCAACCTTTCACTGATGCACATATTCAGTTTTACTAGGTCGCACATAATAGTTTTCTAAAGTGATGATACCAATTTAATCTCCAAACACTACCTTTTGTTCAATGTTTAAATTTTTTGCTGACCTAATACATGTGAAATGATACCTCATTGTGGTTTTAAATTGCATTTCCCTGATTACTAATGGAGAATTTTCCATGTTTTGGGGCCATTTATGTTTCCTCTTCTATGAAATGCCTGTTCATGTCTTTTACTCATTTTTATATTTGGGTTGTTTGTCTCTTTTTATATTGATTTGTTGGAGTTCTTAACATATTCAAATACTAATTTTTATCTCACATATGTGTATCAAGTATCTTCTTTTAGTTTGTTTTCTCATCTTCCTTTAGAGCCCTCAGACAAGCATAATTTCTTAATATAAAAGAAGTTGAATTTGTTAATCATTTCCTCTAAGATTCTGAGCTTTATAAAAACATTTCATGTGTCTTCTCCACCCCCCAAAATGGGAGATATATTCTTATGCACTGTCTTCTCAAAAATGCATCATTTTGCCCTTCACAATGAAATATTTTTATTTAATTTGAATAGATGATTTTTATGTGTGGTGGGACATAGGGGTTCAATCTGAATTTAAAAATTCATTACATAACCAAATTCCGCACAAGCATTTTTTGCATAGTTCCCCTGCCCTTACTGATCTTCAATGCCTGTCTGTCACTTTGTCATGAGTCAAGGTTTTTTTCCTTTTTTTTTTTTTTTAAGTATGGACTGTTTCTGGCTTTTCTGTTTTGTTCCATCAGTCTGCCTTGTCTAACACTGTATCAATTCCACACTGCCTTAGTTACTGCAGTTTTAGAATTAGTCTTGGTAGGGGTGGGGAGGGCCTTTTACCCTATTTTCCTTCAAGAGTGTTATGGCTATTCCTAGTGCTTTGCTTTCCATATGCATTTTAGAATTAGTTTTCCAGGTACCATAAACAATGCTTTTAGCATTTTGATTCAATTGCATTATAACTATAGATTAATATGATATTGTTTTATTTCCCATTTGTGCACATGGAATATCTCTCTGCTTATTAAGATCTTACAAAAAAGCTGAAAATTTTCTCAAAAAGCATTTGCACATATTTTGTCATATTAATTCCTAGATATGTTATCTGGCTCATAAGAGCCTCCTTTACAGCTCCCCAGTCTCTCTTTCCCTGTATGTTGTTGGATGTTCACAACAACTTTGGAAGTCACAAGTTGAGGAGGATGGCATCTCCATCAATGGACCCACAAGTAACTTGAAAGAGTAGAGCCCCATCTCTTACCTATTTCCCATTAAATTAGCTCTACCTACTGAGAAACAAATTCTTCTTTTGTTAAGCCACTGAGATGTGTCACAATGAATAAGATTATCTTAAGTAATGTGTATTAGTTTTAATCTTGGAAATTTGATAAACACACTTATTAATCTTAATATTTACCTGTTGGTTATTTGATTATTTTTGGCATACAAATGATATTATCTTTTAATAATGAGCTTTACTTATTTTCTCTTCTATATTTTACACATTTTATTTCTTTTTCTTGTACTACAGCATTAGCTGATGTCTCCTGTACAATGCTGAATAAAGCCAACTATGATGTACAATTTGCCTTGGTCTTGATATTGAAGGGAGTTATTTAACATTTTACCATTAACTGCCATTCTTGGTGTGGGTATTTTGTATAAATCCTTCATAACAATATGAAAGTTCTCTTATTACTAGTTTGTAAAGAGATTTTGTTGCAAACGGACATTATTTAATGATGTGTTTGCGTCTTTGGAAAGATGTTTTTTCTCCATGAAATTGATAATGTGTTGATATATTTGTTTTCATGAATGACATTGACTCATACTTTTACTGTCCTTGGCTGGGTTGCAAATCAAATAAATAGCAACAGTTTATCTTTGTTTACTTTGTTTACAGTTTTGCTATTTTGTTCATCATGGATTTTTTTGTGTTAGTTTTGATTTTTAAAAATATTACATTAAAATATTCTTTGTCTCAAGTTCAGGGTTTTTTGGTGCTCCCTTAAATGCTATACCTGAAACAGGTGAGTAAATGCTGATCCAGCCCTGCAGACAGCTTGGTCCAGGCCAAGTCTTTCTTTTGGTCTCCTGTGCTTCTGGAGGCTCCAAAGTACTGGAGCTGGGCAGATGCCACCAGCAGAGGATAGATTTGGTCCCAGGTCCTGTAAAAGCATTCTCATTTTTTATTAAGCCTCTGAGCATTTCTTCCTTTCTTGATAGTTCCAAAGTGCCTTTAAAGAAACAGTTTTAATATTTTATCCAGCTGTCTTTGTTATTCTCCTCCAGAGGCTCATTCAATGTATTTATTCCATTGTGCCTCCAGAAATGATACTCTGGAATGTTTATTGCTGTAAGATATAAAGAGCTGGGTTGTCTGTTGAGCCAAGCCAGTGCCTGATGGCTGGTCCTTGGGTTACTTAATTCCACTATGAGACAACCAGACTGTCCCAGTTAACTTTACCAGGAGTAATGCTGAGAGATCATCCTGCTTGGGAAATGACACAAATACAGAAACTCATTTCAAATGGCAAAATTTTAAAAATTGGATTTGTTTTTCAAGGACAACTGATGTCTTTATAATCCAGGCACAGTTCCAAGAGTTTTTATATGGTAACTCATTAAATTCTCACAACCATCCTATGTGATAGAAGAAAGTGGATAGCCGGGATGTGAGCTAATTTTGCTTCCAATTGCATGCTTGTAAACACTATGCCTATTGCCTTTTAGGGTTGCAGAATGAAGTGTCGTTAGTGAGTGTTAGCACAGACCAATGATCAACAAAGGGTTCTAATATTAACCCAGTTTCCTGTCTCCTGCAGTGGCTCCAGTGAGTAGAACATGTAAAAATTACAGTCCCTGTGTCCTCAGCTAGTGATCAGCTTATGCCCTAAATATGTTAATTGACCTCTGTAAAGATTTTTACCAGACTAAAACCACCCCTTATGTGGTTTGCATTCAAAACATATGGATGACTCTTGAAGGAATTGGGGTTTTCTGAACATCGATTATGTGTATGTGTTTCTTTAATTACTCCTTGCTTTTGTAAGGGATGCTTTTATCAACAGTAGCCATCAACTGCATTAATTCCCAAGCGTGCCCTATTTAAACTTGCAGACAATGTGTAACAACATAGACAAATCACTTCAATTAGCTTTGAAATGGCTTTGATGGGTTGAGCAGACCAGATTCTAGAGTTTTATATCCCTTGTGTTCTACAATTGAATTTAGTTCCAAGATTGTATTGAACAAATACAAACTTTCATCTTATATGATGATGCCTGGCTTACATAGAATGAATTTGGTTATTTTTTCCCTGTTTCTTTTGAAAGAAGTTTGGCATCAATTTCAGGAATGCAGAAGACTAAAAAAAAAAAGTTTGGACCAAGTGAAAACTTTCACTAGTGCCTTTTTAAAAAAGTCTATATTTCTCCTTAAAATGTGTGAAAATTTGCTATTTTTTGAAATCATTATAAAAATATTTCAGCATTGAGTTCTTTCTTCTTATCATTCTCCTTTTTCTTCTTAGTGATTAATTTAGTACTATCTGAGGCAAGATACATTTACAGGGAAATTATTTTTTTTTGTCAAAAAAGAATCAAATTGTGAATTTAAAATCTGTTTCTCGCATCAGTTTAAAGAAAGTCAAGTGCTTCAATAATGGAATTGACAAATGATGGATCTACCTATTGATACCAGTTTGGATTCCCTGGGAAGTAAACTCTGAAGTGGTGATCAGTGTGCATGAAGCTTTTTAGGGAAGACACTTGGGACCAACCCATGCGGAAGGGAGGGCAGAAAGCGCAGTGAGGCAGAGGGAGAAGCTGGGCTCTCTCGAAGTCTCAACAAAGGCCTCAGCCTGCCCCATGGACACCCAAGGATGACTATTCAGAGTTGCTCTGATTTGGAGCAAGGTTGTGGGCCTTCATCCTCTTCCTTCAACCAACTGGAAAAGAGGCATGTGAGGAGAGGGAGTGGGGCTTTGGACCAGGCATTTCTCTTTAGCTAATGCAATTCCAGAAGAATGGACTGCTGCAGCACTCCTGGACCCTGGGGAGTAAGTACTTCATTCTGCAGGAGGATCTGACAGCACACTGCAGCTCCACTCTGCCATTCACTTTTTCAGTTGTAGCTGTCTTGCAAAAGCCAATGTCCCCCCATGTTTTTTTGTGTGCCATTCACTCCTTTGAGTATAGAACCCCCATCCATTCTCATCACCCACCTCTGCATTTTTATTCCTGTTGCTTCTCAGGCTTCTCACTTTGCCAAATTCTGTATTTACCACTCCTCCAGGTCCATCTCAAGAGACTTCTCCAGGGAGACTTCCATCCCATCTCCAGCTCTCACCAATTTTCCATGGCATTCTCTGTCTATTTAATAATTTGGAACTCGTCATGAGATATCTCAATCTATACCTTGTATTTTGTTTCCATCTGTCTGTTTTTTTCTTTCTCTAACTAAATTATAGCTAGATTATGATGGTTTCAGATTGTTTACAATCTAATAAGGAAATAGGCTCTTTGTTTTTCATGTTTTCTAGCATTTTGTAATACGCACATTAGAAGCTCAAAAATACTTGTTAAATAAGTGGATCACTGCTTAGCTCCTTAGCCAAGAATGTAGTGAGTGTGGCAACTGTAATGAATCACTATTTTAATTTCATAGTTTTAGATTTTTATTTATGCTCATCTCTTCTGACATCCCAGATTTATTAATCATTCACTCAACAAATATGTATTGAATTCTGTTGTGTCCCAGACACTGTTTTGAGCAAAGGGTATGATATGGTGGTGATGTGGTTTGACTGCGTTCCCACCCAAATCTCATCTTGAAATTGTAGCTCCCATAATTCCCATGTGTTGTGGGAGGGACCCTGTGGGAGATAATTGAATCATGGGGCGATTTCCCCATACTGTTCTCAAGTTAGTGAATAAGTCTCAAGAGAGCTGATGATTTTATAAGATGTTTCCCCTTTCACTTGGTTCTTATTCTCTTATGTAAGATGTGCCTTTGGCCTTCTGCCATGATTGTGAGCCCCCCACCACACTGCCAGCCACATGGAACTGTGAGTCCATTGAACCTCATTTTCTTTATAAATTACCCAGTCTCAGGTACGTCTTTTTCAGCAGCATGAAAACTGACCAATAAAGGTGGTGAACAAGACAAGGGACCTGCCATGATGGAGATTAAATTCCAATGAGAGGCAGATAATGCAACTGAAACAGAGATGATCAAGATGGTTACACAATGTGATAGGTGCTATGGCAGCAATAAACATAGTGAAGAGATGAAATACACCACCTGAGGTCTGGGATGAGGTGATGCTGCCTTCAGAAGAAAATAATTCTGCCATGACCAGAGAGAGAAAACAAGCATTTCAGGCAGAAGGAAAGGAATTCAGGAGGCAGAAAGAACTCCGTATCCTTTGAGAAATGGAAGAGGTCAGAAGGGTTGGACAGTAGTTTGCTCAGGGGAATATGGTAATGGATGAGGTTGGAGAAGGTGTCGGCCAGGGTAAAGGGGTTGAATTTTATCCTAAGAGCAATGGTAAGTCAATGAAGAGTGAAAGTTTATTGTCATTGTTGCTTGCTTGTTTAAAATAGAGGCTAGAGGCAGATTTACCATGAAATTAATGAAGCTTCAGCTTCAGGACCTCCCACTTGCACGAGTCCTTTAAAAAACCTGGGAGGATCTGTAGCTTTGTATGTGTTTGAAGTCATGGTTTTATAAAACTGGCAATTGTTTAGGACCACTCTCTTTTTCCATACTGACATCCCTTCCATCACACTCCCTTTTGTGGAGTGGCATTGGAGTGGCTGTGGTCATTTTTTAGATCTGGTTCCAAGGAGGTTGAGTGGTATACATCTAACTTGGCTTGGTGAAATACAGTTATATGGCTCATAGCCCTTTCTGTGTATGGCCAATGTTGTTAACCATCTCATAATAGGTGCTGGCTTACCCAGTATTATGACATGAAGGTGTACAACCACTGGTTCACATTGCGCTATGAGTGTGTCTTACAGCACCCAGCCCTGGGAGTAACCAGGTAGTGGAAACGAAAAGATTTGAGGTATATGTGGTGGATGCTAGTCCATGGAACATTCTAGTCATCAGATGCATACAATTCTAAGCAGAGGATTTATTCTTTATTTATACTTATCTTTCAGGATAGCAAAGTACAATTATAATGCCTATTTTTTTCCTTTTCGGATAAGAGTTGTGAAAAATAGAAGTTAGAATTCCTGTGTTTTTATGATAAGCAGTGAGAATATGTGTGTGTATGCATATGTATGAAGTTGTATGCTAAATTATCAATACGAAAATATCTATATTAAAAAGCAAATTTCAGCCAACAACACTACAAGTAAGATTGAATTACCTTTTTGTTATCTGTATAGGAAATGCTATCACAAAAAAGTGTTATCATATGAGGATGTAATCAAAGGCAATGCAGTGAGAAATTTAAATAAAACATATCGTAGTAATGTGTCCAATGAATAATTTATAAAAATAGCATGTTGCTTTTTCTATATATTTACTTTTGTATTTCACTTTATATTTATTTGGGGGCTCTTTTTGTTTAAGAACTCCCTTCCCCAATTTTATAAGCTTCCAGCCTCACAAAGCCTGGATCTATCTCTGATGGGAATGATGCTGTGAGATCGGATTTCTATTTTATGAAGGTGCTGGCTGCCATATGGGGAGCAGATCAAGAAGGAGCAAGAGTAAAACCAGAGACATAGCTTGCATCTAGTCACAATTCTTTTGAATGTAGTTACTAACAAGGAACATCAAAATAGTCCAGTGTTGTCCCTGGTCTTCATTCATTGCTTTGCAGAGTCAACTGAGTATCTAAAGGGGAATTGGTCCTGAGTACCACAGCATCACTTCTCAGTCCTGAGTGTGCATATGTGTCCCTTGGGAGTAGGTCTGGGGTGCAGCCTGGGATTCTGCATTTCTAGCAAGGCTTCAGGTAGCCCTGTGGCTGGCTCATGGACCACATTTGGAGTAATAAAGTAGCAAAACACTAGGGATATAGAGTCAGACTGGCTGTGTTTGAATCTTCACTTCAGTACAAACTTTGTGACTTGTTATCTAAACTTTCCTGTCCTCAGTTTTTTCATTTATAAATTGGGATGCCCATAATAGAATCAACCAATCAAGTTATCGTGAAGATTAAATGAGACACTTCATGTTAAGAGGTGATCACAAAATAAGGTACAAAAAATGCTAGATATATTTGTTCTTGCTGCAATCAGATAGCCCGCTTGGCCTTTTGAGCCAAGCTTGACTACGACTTCCTGTGAAGGTTACTGAAGTTTCTCGTGTGTATTGAAAGAAAGAAGGGGCCTACCCCTGGAACACAGACTAAGTAAAATTAGTCTGGTCAATGCAAACTTATAAACAATAAAATATATTTGCAAATCAAAATTGCCAAGTACAATAAATGTTGTGTTCATTTGACCATCATTATATGTTTTATTTCAGGCATGTGCTAGGTTTGATAAATCACAGATTCTTGTATCCAGAATGGAAGTTAAAAAAGGTCTTGTATTCCAATTGCTTAATTCTACATGCAAAACAGAAACAAACAAACAAAAACCACAAGGCTCTCCCTGAGGGATTGTGGCTTTGGTCATGATATTCCCTGTGGGTCATATCTCCTAACTGAAAAGCAACAGAAACCATTATCAAAGTATTTTATTAATACTTTGCAATCTATAGAAAGCCATCTTTATTCAAACCCCCTTATTATTGCTATGGGTTAAATTATGTCCTCCCCAAAAGCATACATTAAAGTCCTAACCCCATACCTGTGAATGTGGCTTTTTTTCGGAAATAGCATCTTTGCAGATGTAATTGAGTTAAGATGAAGTCATTAAGGTGGGTCCTAATCTAATATGAGCAGTGTCCTCATAAGATAACGTAAGGCAGAGACCTGCAAGGGGAAGACCATGTGATGACAGAGATAGAGACTGGAGTCATGCAGCTGCAAACCAAAAATGCCAAGGACTTACAGCCACCAGCAGAAGCTAGAAGAGTCAAAGAAGGAGTCTACTGGAATCTCGGGAGGAACATGGCCCAGCTGACATGTCAATTTCCAACTTCCAGCCTCCAGAGTTGTAGGAGAATACATTCCTATTGTTTTTCCTTTTGTCCTTGTTGTTGCCCAGGCTGGAGTTCAGTGGTGCGATCTTGGCTCACTGCAACCTCCACCTCCCAGGTTCAAGTGATTCTCCTGCCTCAGCCTCCCGCGTAGCCGGGATTACAGGTGTGCATCACCATGCCTAGATAATTTTTGTATCTTTAATTTCATCAGGCTGGTCTCAAACTCCTGACCTCTGATGATCCACCCACTTTGGTCTCCCAAAAGGCAGGGATTACAGGTGTGAGCCACTGCACCCAGCCTTACATTTCTGTTGTTTTAAGCCACCTTCTTTGCGGTTTGTTATGGGAGCCCTAGGAAACTGAAACAACACTCTTCCTCCTTTCTCTATTTTTTTTTTTTTTTGACATGGATTCTCTCTCTGTCACCAGGCTGCAGTGCAGTGGTATGATCTCGGCTCGCTGCAACCTCTGACTCCCTGGTTTAAGCGATTCTCCTGCCTCAGCCTCCCAAGTAGCTGGGACTACAGGCACGCGCCACCAGGCCCAGCTAATTGTTTTGTCTTTTAAGCAGAGAAGGGGGTTTCACCATGTTAGCCAGAATGGTCTCGATCTCCTGACCTTGTGATCTTCCCTCCTCTGCCTCCCAAAGTGCTGGGATTACAGGTGTGAGCCACCACTCCCGGCCTCCTTTCTCTATTTTTAACAGGTTTATCTTTCCTCTTCTGCTGCATTAGAAGCTTCTTGAGGGCAGAGCATTGGACTTTGGCCATGTTCACATCCCTTCAATGGCTTAGCAGGGCTTAGACGGTACTCAGTGAGCAGTTGTTGAATTGAAGTAATTATA